GACTGATTTGATTTAATAAACACAAACAGGGCCAGATTTCAGTGGAGACTTGCAATGGCCTTCTGCATTGTCTGAGAACAGCCCATCACTAACGCTCCTCACATAGCCTGTCTCCCTGCAGGAGAGGGACCAGCGAAAAAGAGGTAACTGCATTCCCATCATGAATGTTTTATTATTCCTTCTTTTCCTATCTGATATTCATTTTACAGAAACAGAGTGCAAGGACCTGCAGCCTGCAACAGAGGAAACAGCTTCCATCAGGGATGGGGAACCTGTGGCTTTCCAGATATTCTGGGACTCCAAATCTCATCAGGTGCAAGGTCAGCATGGTCAGTCATCAGGGATGGTTGGAGTTGCAGTTCATCAACATCTAAGGGAATGCATGGAAACCCCTTAACAAATGTGGCTATTTAGTTACCATGAAAGGTTGAGGTGGCATTTCCCTTTACATGAGTGCGAATAATACCTGGAATATGTACATTAGCCATAGCTCCTGGCCTCCATAGCAAAAAGGGTCTGTCTGTCCGTCCATCTGTCTAGACCAGGAGAGCTTAACCACAGTAGTTCAGGCAATGGCGATCTCAAGACCAGATTACTGCAATGCATTCTATGGGGGGCTTCCCTTGCACTTGACCCAGAAAGCTAGTACTGCAATTCTACAGACGTCTGCACTGGTGGCCCACTTGCTACAGAGCCAAGTTCAAGGTGTTGCTAATGGGAATTCCCTTAACAGCTTGGGCCCAGTTTACTTGCCCCACTCAAACACTTTGGTCTGTGGAACTGGCGCTGTTACAGGTGCTGCATAATACTCGTTCTGCACTTGGGGGAGGGGGAACAGGCCTATTGCTGTGACAGCAAATACACTTTGGAACTCCCTGCCGATTGACACCAGGCAAGTGACTACGTTGTACTCTTTTCATTGCCTGCTTAAAACATTTTTGTTTAGGCAGGTCTATCCAGAATTATAGACAGTGATGTATTTTCAGCTCTTTTTAGTCTACTGTTAATTTTATTTATTTCCATAATGTTTTTACTACATATTTTTGGTCTTTATTGGTAATTATAGAAATATGATAAATAATACTAATATTATTGTGTTTGTTTGTTTGTTACTCACTATATTATGTATTGTTGTGTTTTTATATTGCAAAATGCCTTGTGATCCTCAGATGAAAGGCAGCATATAAATTTAATTAACAACAACAACATAATAATAATAATAATAATTTTGATATTTCTTGTAAACTGCTTAAAGGCTTTAAGGGTGTGTGTTTGTGTGTATGCTGCCACAAGCTTTATACCTTGTTTGATTATTGGTCTTTATTTTATTTCCTTATGTAGAATGTGTACAAGTGTTTTAATCTGTGCTTAGTTTATTGCTGATTTAAATTACTACTTAAATGTTTTAAATTGCTGTTCTAACAGTTTGTACTGATAGTTTTATTATTTTTCTCTTTTTGCAAACTACAGTCAAGTGGCATATACATTTTATGAAGTAAATAAATAAAAATTTTGTTTGCATTTTGATATCCTACAGGTCAGACTAGATATGATGATGATGATGATGATGATGATGAGGATGATAACTTTATTAATTATACCCTGCCCATCTGGCTGGGTTTCCCCAGCCACTCTGGGCGGCTCCCAACAGAGGACTAAAAACAGAACAAAACTTCAAACATTAAAAACTTCCCTAAACAGGGCGGCCTTCAGATGTCTTCTAAAAGTTAGATAGTTGTTTATTTCCTTGACATCTGATGGGAGGGCATTCCACAGGGCGGGCGCCACTACTGAGAAGGCCCTCTGCCTGGTTCCCTGTAACCTAACTTCTCACAGTGAGGGAACTGCCAGAAGGCCCTCAGTGCTGGACCTCAGTGTCTGGGCTGAATGATGGATTATAATAGTCACGCCACTTGCTTTTCATTTGTTTGATAAGAAATAAGTGGATTGGGGAGTGAGAGGGAAATAGACTCTCTGGTCCAGCTACATTCCCATTTCAGGTGCTTCCCCCACCGCATGCTAACATATGGCTGCTACTAACAATAAAAAAGAAAGAAAAGAAAATGAAAGAAAATTCAGCACAATTGCGAGTGGTGCAATTATTGTCATACCTAGCCTGGCCCCAAAAGCCCCACAAGTTGATTCAGAAATGCATAGCATGGGTGGTTATGGAATCCCTGGTCACGACATTCCCTGCAAAGAGTACCAGCAGGACTTCACCTTCGTTTCTTTCCTGCAACCCCTCCCTGAGCATATTTGGGGGGTGCCAACCAACCTTGCAGAAATGCCAGTGCCTTTCCACTCATGCAAGACATCCCTGGATCCAAGCCGTTATTCCTATTTTGTGGAGAGTGCTCAGACCAGCAGCATCTTCCATACATCTGTTTATTCGTGGCAAAGAAGTATGGGATAGCTACATTTATTAATGAATCGGTTGATCAATTTATACTCCACCTTTCCGGGGGGCGGAGGGAGTCTTAAGATAGTTCACAACACCCCTATTCAACAGGGGCTGGGAACATCCCAAGGGCCACAGTCTTTTCTGGGGAACCTCCTGGGGGCCGCACACCAGAGGCAAAAGTGGGCCGTGCATTACATGTGAATTTTACCTTTGTGCAGTAGACAGGTTTCTGCAACACTAAGACACCCCTCTCTAGCCTCTATCCAGGCAAACAAGAAGCGCTTTCTAGCCAGGCAAAAGCACTGGTGGCCTGGAAGTCCTGGAGAGAGTCCTGGGGGCCAGATAAGAGAGGCCTAGGGGGCCATGTTTGCTCCACATGCCCGAGGCTCCCTGTTGCTATTAAGCAGTAAAGCATTTTTACAAATCGGCACACTAAAATTTAAGCAGCATAAAACAGAGAAACCCAACAATCCATAAAGTCATAAGCTGTGACAGGGGCAGAGGAAATCCCAACGACGACTGCAACTAGCACCTCATCACAGTAGCATGAAACCATCTCAGCTGGCTGTTGAAGCCAATTTTGTTTTCTCAGCGCGTCAGGTTCAGAGGGAAAATGGAGCAGTGCTACTGAAGATAGTTCCAGAGTACAATTAGGAGCAACATAAAAATCACCGAGAAAGCTTATACAAAAGTAATGGTAGGGGGACCATGTGGAATACTGAGTTCATGTAGAACTGCCTGTTAAACTTCTTCCTTTTAAATGAGGACTCTTAAGGCAGTGCAATGTAGTGGTTAGAGTGTCAGGCTAGGACATGGGAGACCAGATTTCAACCCCCCAGTCAGCTGCGAAGCTCACAGACCTCGGGCCAGTCACTGCCTCTCAGCCTGACCTACCGCACAGGATTGTTGTGGAGAGTAAATGAAGAGGGGGAGAATCAGGTATACTATCTCGAGTTCCTTGGAGAAAAAGATGGGATACAAATGCAAATAATAATAATAATAAGAATGCTCTAATGCAGAGGTTCCAAACTGACCCTAATTGAGTGATAAGAGCATTCTACATGGTGCAGAAGTACGAGACATGTGACTCTCCCCCACCCCAAGTCAGAAAGTGAAATAGAGAATTGGGGAAGCTTTATTATATCTTAAATGAGCAATCCTGGAGCTGCTTGAAAAGCTTGCTCTGTAAAACCCCCCTCCCCACCGCTATCCCTAAGCCCAGATGTGTGGGAGCTCGTAGCTGTGGTTATTCATTGGAAAGGAAATGGTACTCTGCCTATGCTTCATGGTGGAAGGTAGACTGGGCTCCACAGAGACATCTCTAGGGGGATCTGGCAACAGATCTCAGTAGGAAAACTGAAAAAAAATTAATTGATTGCTTATCTTTTAGCCTTAATGTTCCTTATAACTGGTTGCCTCTGACCAATAAACACATTGTTAATATGTTGCCTGACTTATGCAACTGTACTGGCCACCTAATTAATTTTCTGTTAGCATCCCTGATGTTTAGTAATTCAGAAGTAGACTTGTACAGTTGAGGCTGGTCCATTTGAGCTATGGGGGCATTGCCCCACCCACTTCAGCCTGCTCTTAGCCACCTCCCCTCACCTGCCTGCCACTTACTTAATACTTCTTCTTAGCCTCTGTGTCACCCCTTTTAGAACTTAGCAGGGAAAAGGGGAGGGGAACCCCAGTTAGTTGGCTGTGCCTGTCACCCACTGTGCCTCTCCCTGCCTTCCACTCTTCATGTACCAAAGGACATCATCCATCACTGGATGGATTTAAAAGGTGCCCCTGTTCAGGGTGTCCAAAATCCAGCAGGCTGCAAATGTTGATGGACTCTCAAGTCTCTTCACATGCAGTCAGCATCACCAATGATCAGGGATGATGGGAGCTGTCATCTAGGAATATCTGGAGGACCACTGCCTCTGCTATCCTTACCCAAAAATCATTTTTAATATGAGTACTCACAAAAAAGTGCTTCCAATATTGCCAGGGGAGATTGACAATGCCTCACATCTAAAAATTGTGTTCTTTCTCCATAACTATGAGTTGCTTGCATTACAATGGATAAAGAGTCAGTTGATTAGTTAATTGATCAAAAGCTTGTTCTGCTGTGTGGGATCCCTAAGTCATGCCCTGATAGCACTGCTGTATGTGCCTTCAATGTTCATCTTGGTGGTTTAAAAAATATTTGCTTTTAACCCTTCTCCTCCTCAAAATCTGCACCACAGGGAATTGGCCAACCTTGCAAAGCTGTTGCAGAAAATCCCCTACATAATTTGTGTGAAGTGTTTCCTGCTTTTAGGAGAATCACTGCACCCACTAAACACTGGCTATGCCCCATCATGATATTGTCAATCCAGTTGTATGCCAGCTGCCCATATGCTCACAGACTCCTTTCAAATAGGAGATTTGAAGGGAAATAGACCTTTGCTAAACTGTTGCTCTGGGTTAAGTTTTCTTTGTTGATTACATGGTCATCCCACCCTTTCCTTCTAGGAACTCAGAAGTGTGTGTTATCTTCTCCCTCCCCATTTTATCCTCACAACAACCCTGTGGAGTAGGTTAAGCTGAAAGATAGTGACTGGCCTTTGATCACCCAGTGACTGAGTGGGGATTTGAACCCTGGTCTCCACAGTCTCAGTTTGTCACTTTAACCACTATGCCATCTAGGCTTAGAAGACAGTTTTGACTATTGTGCCTTCACTTGCAGGAGTCTGGGACCCATCAAAAACCTTCCCTGAAGCTCTGCGCTTGGTACACAGTTGACGCTGCATCATAGACTGTAGCCAGCAGCACAAGTACAGTGCAGGTTAATTTATGGGAAAAAACCAAACCTCTGCTAAAAAGTCACACAATTACGATGGATTAATTGTGCGACTCTTTGGCCAATTAATGATTCAATCCGCATCCATCTTCATTCGAGTAACTCAAAGTTCCGACAGCCACAGAGTTTTGGCCTCTTGCAGCAAAGAGAACGACAGAGTGCCTTGGCACCTTTTAAGACCAACCCATTTATTGTGGCAGAAGCTCCCATGGACTCAAAGCCACTTCTTCAGTTACATAAAGGAGACAGTCGTAAGGTGGGGGCAAATGGCAAGGAGCTGCAAAAATGACAGCCAGCAATCTTAGGTGTACATATGTTGGCTTGGCACAGCTTTATAACCTTTCACAGATTGGTGGTATTTGTTGAGATGATTGTATGAACACACAGCAGCAGGGCAGCGAACTACTGACTAAGCAAGAAACAGTGTCAATAGCCCAGATCTCCTGGTATTAGGAAGCCAATCAACACATGAGGAGTGCAATTTTTCAAAAAGAATCCTTTCTCTCGTTAAACCCACAAGTGATGGCATTGAAGTTCTCGGTGCCTTGTAATGGAGATGTTTCCCAAGCGCTGCACGTCCCAGCTGTCCCCCTCTCTTCTCCCCCATCCCATCCCACCCCGCCTGCCCCCACCCCCGTGGCGGGCCGGCCCTCCTTCTCCCCCCTCTCTCCCCCACCCTCTGCGCCTCGTCCCTCCCCCTCGTGGTCCCGGCACTCACCCGCGGCTCTCCGTGGGTGGCAGGCAGAGGAAGGGCTGCGTGCGACTCCGCTCCTACATCAGACACACAGTCCGGCGCCGCAGTGGTGGCGGCAGCAGCAGCCAGCCAGCCAGCCAGCTAACCTTGCCCTGCTAGCCAGCAAGGTGCGAGCGCGCTGTCGAGGAGCGCTGTCCGCCCCCTGTTGGTGCTGAACAGCCCCTTGAGCGCGCCTCTCCGCGCTCTCCTTGCCCAGCCGCGGGGTAAGGGAGGGCGGCGGCAGGAGGGCGCTGCCATGGGCGCCGCGGCAGCTCTCCAAAGTTTGCCGGTGCACAGGACGGAGCCCAGCTGAAGGAGGAAGCGCCCGGGAGTCCCCCTGCCCACACGCTGCACGCCTCTCCGCGCGGAGAAGGTAAGGGGAAACGGGGCTCGCTCGGTCCTGCCTGAGCTTGGGAGGGTGGGGAAAGGGAAGTCGAGGCAAAGTCGTGCGGACGCCCACGGGCTCCTGACACGCGCGGGTAGAGGGGTGCCTTGACCTCCAGTCCACACGAAAGCGCCAGGGGGCGGCGGGGAGAGAGACTCGGCAGCGCTGTCGTATTGCAAATCACTTGCCCCGAGTTACTTCCTGGGTTATTCGCTCTGATGGAGTCATGGGGGGGGGGGGTCGTCTTCTTCTTTGCAACCCGCTTCAATGCATGTTGAGGGTGGGAAAGAGTGATTTCCGATCCGCAGGGATGGCCCGCCATACAGAGGCAGGATGAGTAGTAGCTTCTCATCCGGATTAATAAATGCTGGGTATAAAGGGGCAAGGTTCTGTGTGCTATTACCTCGGGTAATGTTCCACCGCACTGTTTGGATATTACATGGGGGGGGGGGGGAGAGAGAAAGAGAGAGAGAGAGAGACTGTGTACTGGGATAGGGGGCAAGTAGGATAGAAACACCCTGGCAGAGCAGAAATTGTGTGTTTGCAACTACCCCCAATACTTTTTTCTTTTTAAATCCACCACTACCTCCAGAGTAGGTATGGTAACTAGTCCTCAAGACTAAGGGCTATATCCACAGCTATGGAAGAGCCATAGCTCAGTAGCAGAGCATGCAGAAGGTTCCAGGTTCTGTCCCTGGCATCTCCAGGTAGGGCTGCGAATGTCCCCTGCCTGAAACTCGGGAGAGCAACTGCCAGTCAGAGTAGGCAATACTGAGCTAGATGAATGAATGACTCAGTTTAATCAGGGATTGTGTGTTTGTGTGTGTGACAACTTCACAACAACTGAGGATGGCTCAGTTGGTAAAGCAGGAGCCACATAATCTCAGGGTTGCGGGTTTGAGCCCCACATTGGGGAAAATATTCCTACATTGCAGGGGGCTGGACTCAATGACCCTCCTGGTCCCTTCCAACTCTGTGATTCTGTGAAGATCATTACATTACAATTGTGTGTGTGTGAGAGAGAGAGAGAGAGAGAGAGAAGAAAGAGGGAGACAATTTGCAGAGCAGGTGCTGCACTAGAGATTCCTCTGCCCCCCCAGTTAGAAGACTTGTGTGAGTTGGGGATCTTTCCAGACACATCACAGAAGCAGGTAGGATAATACTCTGGACGGTAGTGGCTGTGTGCAATGCAGCATCACCAGCCAAGGGATAGGATATCGAAAGCCAGTGTGGTGTAATGGTTAGAGTATTGGGACTATGGCTCAGGAACCCCAGGTTCAGATCCCTGCACAGCCATGAATGAACCTCACTGGGTGACTTTGGGCCAATCAGTAACTCTCAGCCTAACCCCCCTCACAAGGGGTAGAGGGGAAAGCCACGTGTGCTCTTTGGAGAAAGCACAGGCTGTAAATGTAATACAATAAATAGATACATAAAAATAAGTACTACTCTCCATCCAAGGACTATGCTTTTCACCTCACTATTTTAAAAGCAGAAGCTGAAAGCTAAACTGTGCTGGAGGAGTATGCATATAAGTTTTCTGTCCTGTGAAGGAACATGTCTCAGACTGTAGACATGTTCACATGTTGCACTGGACACAGGTACAAGCTGCAGGTACACAGGTTTGTTTGAAAGTGCACACTTGTTGATTTGTACAGCTCAGGTGCACATAGGAACAAAGGAAGCGGCCAGCTTCTGTGCCTGATGTTGGTCTTTCAATCTCAGGGTTGTCTGCGACACTGGCAGCAGCTCCCCAGGGTCTCAGTCTCTCCCAGCCCTGCCTGGAAATGCCCCGGGGATTTACCAGGAACCTTCTGCATGCAAAGGAGGAGCTCCCTGGCTGAGCTATGGCCCTCCCCCCCAAAAAAACACACCCAGATTGCACATTCATTGGATGTTATAGGTGAATAACTCTACAAGTGTGCAGCTAAACTCTTTGTGTGCACAGGTACACTCCTGTAATGTGCAAACACTCAATCTGAAATTCTCGTATGCATTTGTGAGGTGGAGGAGAGGGAATACCAAACAGTAGGTGTTGCGTGATTCCTGCTCAGAGATCATGGCTGTGTGTACAGGCTTTCTTCCAAATCCTGCGAGAGATTTCTTTAGAAAAGGATTTGCATGATACAGTATTCCTTCCAAAATAAGCAGGCAAGGAGGAGAAGTAGTGTGTGTGTGTGTGTGTGTGTGTGTGTGTGTGTGTGTGTGTAAGAGCTCCTCCCTCTCTCAAATATATGCCCATACACAAACACACCAGAGCAAATAATGTTGTCCTTAGTGCCAAGCGTAAAGGTTAGATTTTCTCCAACAGGAGGTGTGTATACATTTCTTTGTACCGTCTCAGCTCCCCAGATCAGAAGCTATGCACCAACATGAGCTGTATGTGTGCGAGACCCAGCCAGAATTGGGAGCTTAGTATGACCCTCAGTCCAACAACAGAGTATGTTCTAACAGCCTTTTACAAAGGTGGAAAGACATCTCCAAGACCGGAGTGTGTGGTGAGAGAGATCTTTTCTCTTCGGAAGCATTTATATAGCATTCCTCCCAATCTTTCCTATAAGAAGTTCAAGGTGGCGCACCTGATTCTCTCACCTCTGTTTTATCCCCACAACAACCTTGTGAGGTAGGTTAAGCTGAGAAATACTGACTGGTCCAGGAACACCCAATGAGCTGCATGGCTGCGTGGGGAATTGAACCTGAGTCTCTGTTGTCCTAGTCCAATACTCTAACCCAGGAGTGGCTAACCTGTGGTCCTCCTGATGTTGCTGGACTCAAACCCTTATCAACCCCAGCCAGGGATAATCAGGGGTGCTGAGAGTTGCAGAACAGCAACATCTGGGTGGCCACAGGTTACACGCCTGCTCTCTCCATCGCACCAAACTGGACCTCAGGAATACACTTCCTGTGTATGCCTGAGAGAGACAGACAACAGCTCTTGTGACTGTCACAACCACACCATACATTCAAAGCACATCTCTCCCCACCTGAAGCATCCTGGGATCTGTTGTTTGCCAAGAGTGCTGGAGATGCTAGCTTAAAAACTACATTTCCCAGGATTCTTTGGTAGGGGGTGTACTTTAACTGTACAGTTTGACTGTGACTGGTATGTCTCTGAAATCCATATAAGACTCTGTGACCCACAAGTCTTCTCCTAAACCCTTCTGCCTAGGAATTGAGAGGGAAACACATTGAGAGGGTTGTGTTTCTGCACGAGAACAACCTCCCCCCTGCCACTGGAGCTGTGTGGGAGAAGGGGTGGGGTGGGGGAATGCATAAGACTAGGAAATCTTAGCCCAAAGGCAAGAAATGGAGATGGAAAAAGGGTCTCCCCTGGGAAGGTACATAGGAAGCCGTCTGGTATACTAAGCCAGGCTGTTAGTCCATCAAGCGCAATATTGTCTACAGTGACAGACAGGGAGCCTCCAGAGTTTCCCGGGCTTACCTGGCAATGCTGAGGACTGACCTTCTGCATGCAAAGGATGTTCTCCACTTTTGAGTTGCAAATCCTCCCTGCTGTGACTGTGTATCAGAAAGACCCTTCATAACATTGCTATTATGTTCGATACACCCCCTCAGAGAAGGAGCTATAAGTGGGAGAAATCTCAGAGCAAAGACTGAGTGGGTGGCATGTGTGTGCGATTTCGGGGTACGCAGATATGCCTTTGTGTGCACACGTACGTTCCTCAGACAGACACTTCCTTTTTTTCTTTTTTCTTTGCAAGAGCAAAGG